TTGTTAGTGTATAGGAAAGCTACAGATTTCTGTGTGTTAATTTTGTATCCTGCAACTTTGCTGTATTCCGATATCAGTTCTAGTAGTTTTGGAGTGGAGTCTTTAGGGTTTTTTATGTACAGTATCATATCATCTGCAAATAGTGACAGTTTAACTTCTTCTTTACCAATCTGGATTCCTTGTATTTCTTTGTTTTGTCTGATTGCCGTGGCTAGGACCTCCAGTACTATGTTAAATAACAGTGGGGAGAGTGGGCATCCCTGTCTGGTTCCCGATCTCAGAGGAAATGCTTTCAGCTTCTCGCTGTTCAGTATAATGCTGGCTGTGGGTTTATCATATATGGCCTTTATTATGTTGAGGTACTTGCCCTCTATTCCCATTTTGCTGAGAGTTTTTATCATGAATGGATGTTGAATTTTGTCAAATGCTTTTTCAGCATCTATGGAGATGATCATGTGATTTTTGTCCTTCTTTTTGTTGATGTGGTGGATGATGTTGGTGGATTTTCGAATGTTGTACCATCCTTGCATCCCTGGGATGAATCCCACTTGGTCATGGTGTATGATCCTCTTGATGTATTTTTGAATTCGGTTTGCTAATATTTTGTTGAATATTTTTGTATCTACGTTCATCAGGGATGTTGGTCTGTAGTTTTCTTGTTTGGTGGGGACTTTGACTGGTTTTGGTATTAGGGTGATGTTGGCTTCATAGAATGAGTTTGGGAGTATTCCCTCCAATTCTGTTTTTTGGAAAACTTAAAGGAGAATGAGATTTTTTTCTCCGCAGATTTTTGCCTGGCCTTTTTTGTTTAAAATCCCCACCTTCCACCTTCAGTTTTGCTTTAACAGTTAGAAGTGTTGTTTGTTTGTTTTTTTAAATCAGAGGGGAGCCTGTGCCCATACGGCAGGCAGGGCACTGTGCAGAATTAACATACCCATGTTATTCCATGACTTCTTCTATTGCTGACTCTTCGTGTTTGTGCCTGCTGATGCTGAAGGAAGTCTTATCCATGGAGGTTGTTGCATGGGGCTTTAGAAATCGGCCGAGATTTTAACTTTTCAGGAGGCTGTTCTCAGGAAGTGCAGCTTCTTTTGGAAGGTCTGAAATATTTCAGATTTACCGTCCTTCTTTTTAAGTAGACATATGTGTTTTCTTCATAGAAAAACCACGTCATATGTGGCCACTATTCCTAAAGTCAAGAACAGCAGTTTACCTACCAGATATTTTTTCCTTTTCTTTTGTACCTGCCCTGGAGTAACTTTTTAGATCCTCTGATACAATCGAACAGTTTTCTTAGGAGCTTATACAGAAAAAAAAAGAAAATGAGTAGAAATGGAATATCACCACCTGTTTCCAAAGTTTGTTTCTGAGTTGGAACTATGCCGTCTTTCAGAAAAACTTTTAGGGCACAAATACAGCAATTCTCATGGAAACAGAAAGTGTACTTTTAGTTGGGGCTGTCTTTTTCCTTTCCACCCTCTTTGCAGTAAAGTCATGGAGTTCATCTGGATGGCCCTGAGTCTCTGGCTCTGGGGGACGTGGATTTCATCATTGTGAATATTTACCAAGACGATGCACGGTGGGCCCACAGAGAGACTTGTTGTGAGTGTGGAGTTAGGGGCAGCATCTCTGCTAATGGCAACTGCTGACTACCCTCCCTCACCCTCGGACAGAGTGCCTCTCCCACTTAGGGTCATGCCTTGGTCAGTGGTTTTAAGCAGCTTTTTAAAAATTTCCCTTAAGGACATTACAGTTAGCATGTATAATGTCGGGGGGGCATGGGGAGGGTTGTGCAACACAGAGAAGACAAGTAGTGATTCTACAGCATCTTACTACGTGGATGGACAGTACTATAATGGGGTTTGTTGGGGGGATTTGGTTGAAGGGGGGACCCTAGTAAACATAATATTCTTCATGTAATTGTAGATGAATGACAACAAAATAAGTAAATTGATTAATTTAAAAAAATTCCCCTTAAATGCTAAGATTTTCTTCCTATAATGAATCTGTTTCACCACATATACCAAATAGTTCTGAAACTCAAACCTCTTCTTTCCTGCTAACTAATCTCAGAATCTAATTCAGCTATTAAAACAGACTGTTTATCCTTTTACCTATGCCACATATTGTACCAATTTTATCGAGGTCTCCAGAAGCCACGTTCCTACCCCCGGAGGCTCTAATCTTTGGCCCTATTGCAAACTGATTCCCAGGCACATCTGTCAGGCGCGTGAGCTGTTCTGAACATGGCAGAGTTCCTCAGCTTGGGCTGGCGGCTGGTGTTCAGGCCCAGCACCTCCGGGCCAGTCTGCCTTTGCCTTGCTCCCTTCTGTGATTGATGTAACGTTCTCTGTTGAGCACCCCGCATGTTGGGGTTTAGCCTGGACGCTAGTGAACAGAAAGGAATAAATTCCAGCCCTCAGGGAGATCCCAGTCAGCTGCTGAAGACATACACGGGCCATTTCATTATGACACAGGGTAAGAAGTGCTGTGGGGGCTTCAAGGTCCTGGGTGCACAGGGAAAGGGCTTGTCAGTCTAGCCCCGAGCCTTCAGGCAGAGAGGAAGCACTGAGGGCGTTCAGTAGGGAGTGCCACCCTCAGACTGGAGAGCCATGCTGGGGGGGCCCCTGGAGGACAGGTGCGGGTGGGGAGCGCTGGAAGGCAGGAGGCCCCTTAGGGATCAATACAGAGGTTCCCTGAGACCTAGAGCTGGAAGCCTGGTGGGGGGTGGAGCCGCCACAGAGGGATACCCCAGACATGCTGCCATTACCACGTGGTTGGTTGGTTGAGAAGCTGAGCAGGGGAGTCCAGCATGACCTGACTGCTCTTCTCTCCACTCAGTTACATGCTGCAAGTGCAAGGGCAGCTGTTCTGTCTCAGGAATCAGTACACAGTGGAGGCTGTGGAAGGGAGCGTCTTTGAAAGCAGAGAAGGGGAGACGAGGAGTTGTGTGGTAGACATCGTCAATGTGATTTCTGTAAGTGCTGATGTTTTATGAGCAAGGGAAGAAAAAGCCACAAGTGCTTGGAAGGAAATTCAGGCCAATCCTGGACTCCAGCCTGCCTGCAAACAGAGCGCCTGCCCTCCTGATATGAATCAACAGCAGTTCTCCTTCTGCTCATCGATTGTTATGCTCGTGCGCATGTTCCTGTATTTGTTTCAGCCACTGCATCCTCCACGGAGCTAGGGGGCACTTGCTGGATAAGGGCTTCCTCAGGGTCTTCATTATCTACCCAAGCACAAATGACTTGTTTCACCAAGAAATAAGTAACCATATGCAGAGCTTTGAGATGCACACTGTATCCATATGTAGAGAGGAAGCTTAAAAACATCAAAACAAATCTGTACAGAATGTGAGCTGCATTCCAGAAAAAGCGCATTTTCCACGTCAGACCCTGAACACTGAAGTTCCCAGTGCTCGCATCCATCTGGTACCTGTGCTTCCAGAGTTCGTTCCATCTGTCATTCAGTTCATGTGAAGGTTGCTGGGGCCATTGCTTTCCTACAGAGGCACTGGTAGAATGTGATCTCAAGAGGCTGAAGCAGGAGCCAAGGGGGATAAAGATGTTTCTCTTGATGCACAGAAGTAGCAGATAGGGCTGATAATCAACTCCCCATCCTGTCATTCTGCCCTCGGAAATCAACTGAGCAAGCAATATAGCACATGCAGTACCATTTTCTCACAAGCCTGCGTCTGTTTCTATGTATTGTAACATCACAAAGAGATGAACATTTGGCTTTAAACTTTCTCAGCTTGAAACACAGTTAATTTTTCTAGCCAGCATTATTCCAGGCTGTCCAACATATCTGTCCTCTACTGTGACCACATATCTTAGATGAACTGGAGATGGACCCTCAAACTCCGCATTGCCTTGCAGAATGCAGGAGTACAACAAGGGGACTCTCCAGCCAGAGGGTGCAGCCTGTTGCCCCAGATACCCTGGAACTTAGCAGTGAGGTGGGAGTCCCGCTCGCTGGTACACATCTGGAGTACATGCAGTTGTAGTTCTGTGTATTGTCAGATCTCTGTATAAAATCAATTTCCATAGTGATCAGACATGCAGAAGAGTAATTTCCTGTAAGTCCTGGGTCCCAGCAAAGTGGAAATGCTTCTGCTTGTCTGTTGTGATTATTTAAGCCACATGATCTCAGAGGGGAAGCATTCACCATCGGCTTAGACTCTGAGTGTCCTGATTTGAAAGAGCCTGTGTTTACTTTCCCACTGCTGTATATCCAAGTTCAGACCTAAAAATTCACCTGTACTGTCATCTAAGTAATTATGATTGAAACAGCAAAACTATGTATGTTATTTTTTCCCCTGAAACATACAGTCCATTTCTTCCCTGAAAATTAATCATTTTCACATGTTCTCTCATAATTTCCTGGGGAGGTAGGTCTGCTTACAGTACCTTAAAATTTTTCTTAGTAGCTGGATTTAATACTGTCATCCTCCTCTCATAGCTTAACATCTTATTCTATGTGGGCAGCCCCCCAACAGCCTCATGCTGATGCTGGGGATCTCGAGACCTGGGTGCTTTCTTTAGCCCTGTCTGGGCTGACTTTGGCCCGGCCTCTTATGCTGCAGTTTCTCCATGTGCTAAAAAGCCTCACAACAATTGACACCCAAGTCACAAGGATCTTACGGGAAATGAAGTGACAATGGTTATAAGGTGCTTTGAACCTTTCCAAAGGAAAATGATCTGGAAACACAGGTTCTTTCCATTCCTGGTGAGTGTCTTTTGCTCCTTTTGCAGCTGAATGATGAACTCTCCTGCCCTCACCCTGCCACCCCTCCCAAGGGTCTCCCATCCCTTCAGAACTGTGGCTGAAGGGCAGACAAACAGGGCAACCGTCAGCAGGGAAGATGTGAGCCAGGGGAATCAGTGTTTTAGAGCAAGTGGAGGCCCTCCCACCGTGTGCGCCACAAATCAGGAACCAAAGTGTCCTGACACCCAAGTTCAGCTCTGAAAGGAAGGTGTGGGCCCTGCAGCCAGGCAACTTTTTGAATCCTAGCTTTTCAGGTACCATCTCTGTGGCCTTGAATGTATCCCTTAGTCTCTCAGAACTTTTATTTGCTCATCTCTAAGATGGGGATGATGACATTGGTCTTGCACAAATATTATAAGGTTTAAATGAGATTTCTGTCTGTAGTGTGTGGTACCTAGTGGGTGTTCAAAAAACACTAGCTACCTTTCACTCCTTACCACTCCACAGTGGGTAGAGGAGACTGTTTTGTGTTTCATGCCACTATGCCATAGTGTGTGTAAATACTACATGCAAAATTTGTCTTAATACTTTGCAATGAAGTAACCTGACTGGTTGTCCAGGTCATAAACTTTAGCACAGATTGTACATAGACATGAACATTCTCTGGAAAGCCAGCCTGCAGAGAGCAGTGGGGCCCACTGTCTGCACTTCACCTCTCACCCCTCTGAAGGGACCCCCCCAGCACCGCCCTCCCTGTCCGTCCCCAGCATCCCCTACCTCGACGCTCTTCCCATAGCCTCATGCTTGAATACACTCACAGCCTCCACTGGGATGGCCCTGCTCCAGCCTCTTCCTCAGGCATTCTTCCTTTAGTCCATCCCGGCGGTGCCTTTCTGTAGCCATGCTTCAGAGCCGCCTTGTTGTTACCAGACTCAGGGAAGGACACCACATCTTTCTCCTCACAGTCTGTGTGCTAGCCCAGCTGTCCATGGCTCTGGGCTTTCCTGCCTCTGCTGTCTCTGCCCTGCATGAGCTTTCTTTCCATTTCTGCTGGCCCTGCCTCATTGTTTGGGCCAGCACAACCTTCGTCCAGAGCACAGGTCAAGCTCTGACTCCTTGGAGGAGACCCCTGATGCACTGCCGCATCCCCTCCCAGCTCTCCCTGTGGGCAGCTGGCCCTCCTACACACAGTCCCTCGGCTCTCGGCTCTCCACAAGCCCTGGCAGCATTCTGACTTGAGGGCTGCTGTATGTCCTGGCCAGATCTCCTCGCCCTGGGGGTCTTCTCAGCCTTCCCCAGAGCCTTGCGCCCTGTAGGTACCTGGGGTGTTGGCTACATGGAGAGGTGCTGCCTGTTCCTCCATCTGTACTGGTGAGGACTCTGACCTCACTAAATAACATTACAGGGCCCAACTTCCCAGCCCTTCCCCATGCCGTCGCTCAAGCAGTGTCTGTAAGGTAAAATTCTCCAAAGGAAATTTATGTCCACATCCTCTTACTCCTCCATGGGGATGCACAACAGCTGTTCACCATGTTTGGTAAAATCACTCGAAAATGGCTGTGAAGTCAGTCCCTAGACTTTCTTCTTCAGGATATTTAATCCCCTTCCCTTGACCTCTGGTGGGTCCAGTGCACCTATGCCTTTGATCGTCACTTCTGCTCTTTTCTAATCCTTTCTGAGTTCTCCATCTTCCTCTTAAGTTGTGGCAGGCATAAGAAGGCCTGTTTTCCTAGAATGCCCAGTTCAATAAAGCTCGGTTCAGAGCCAGGCTCTGGCTTTCCTGAGGCCGCTGAGGGGGTGGTGATGGGGGCTTTGGCCCCCCAGCCCGGATGCAGAGTGCCTCTCTGGTCGGAAATGAGGCGCATGAACCAGCCACTTAGACAGCAGCGGAAGGAAGGACAGGGAAGAAAAAGCCAGGCCTGTCCATCAGGGTGGACAGTTTGAGTGCCAGCCAAGCCTCCACAGCCACAGAGCCCAAGGACCCAGGGTGGGAACACAAGCCCACAAGTGAACGCCCACCCGGTGCAGCCAGGGCGGGACATCCCATTCTTTCCGAGCAAGCACAGGCCTTCACAGAGCATCCTGTCCTCAACAGAAATGACAACATCCATTTTACCATCCAGCCTCTCACATGCAGTAGAAAATAAAACAGTTTCAAGTCTCCTGGGACACGTCTCTGTAAGTGGCCCCGTCAGTCCCACTTTCCTCCCGGGGCAGATGAGTGAAGGGCATTTTCAGGGCCTCTCCCTGCAGCCAGCTGGACAGTTCAAGCTCAAGAGGAGCAGGCATCCCCACCCAGGGTTCTGGGAGAGCGGCCTGCTTTCTCCAGTGGCCCTCAGCCTGCACACAGTCTCACACGCGTGCACTTGGGAGCACCCGTGTGCTAACATGTTCTTGGTTCACTGAGCGCTTGACCATTGGCACCGAGATTAGTTAGACGGCCACCAAAAGTAGTGGGGTGGCACCTGGCCTGTGATCCGAGGCACAGCCAGTGATCCTGCTGAGTCTGGGCACCTGGAGGACCCCAGTGCAGGCAGCATCGGAAGGTGGTCATCTTCCCCACATTCACTTCTGGCCCCTGCCTGGACGTTCCACAGGTGGGCATCATCTTGAAAATGCCTCCAACCTACGTTCCCCACTCAGTCCCTCATGCCCTCTGTATGTTTGTTCTGTTTTGAAATAGCAGCAGTTGCCTCCTTTGCACCCTTTGCTTTTGCCCTGGCAACCTGTGACCTGCTTCTCACTGGAAAGGAAAAGAAGGGGAACGTGGGTCAGCCCTTCTTCTCCAGGCCCACCCACTTCAGCACCTTAACAATGTGGACAGCCTGGCATTTCCACTTCGTTACAACCCCAGGAGGGAGGGAGGAAAGGAATATTATACACACGCACATATAACAGTATATATTATATAAAATTCAAAAAGTACAGAGCTTATCAACTTGGGAGAATCTTACTGGGAAAGGTGATTTTCAAATTATAAAGGAATACTTTTTGTTGATTTATCAGTGAAGTGTATTTTCATTGATTCAAATAAAAAGTGCCTATGGGGATCCTCTTTTATACCAGGAACTATCCTCAGAGCAGCAGACTTGGGCCCTGATCTCAGACGGTTTGGATCCATGAAGAGACAGTTCAAAGTCAAGTGACCAAATAAACAGCACTGACAGACTGATGAATGCCTTGGCACACGGGGAGCACAGCATGGTGGATACTACACACAGCTTGGAGAGAGCTTGAGGAAGGCCTCTGAGCAGAGACACAAGGCGTGAGCGGGCATTATCTAGAAGGTTAAAGGGGTTTGCTTTAAATGCCATTAGCCAAGGAAGACAGGAAGACACAACCTAAGGTCTGTTGAACTTAACATATTGGATAATCGTAAATTTAAGGAGTATTCAAATCAGCAGGGTGTGAAACCAAAAAGATTTCATCTAACTTTGCATCAGACCTAGTAAGCAATTGCAAAATTTCAAATAAAGCAGAATAATGGGCCTGCTTGAAAGCTGAGGCAGTGGGAACCACACGTGCTCTGTGCAGTTGGGCCTCTCTGTGTTATGATAAGGGCATTAGCCCATTGTCACTGTAAAGTTCGAATCTCATCTTGATGCACTAAGTGCTGTACTGTTCATGTCTCTCTTTGCTCCACCACTTTCTGGGAAGCAGTCATGCCGGACGGGTCCTATGAACGTGAACGAACCATCCTTCCTGAAATGGCGTTCCCACCATTCAAAGGCCTTCTCAGGGCACTGACAGCCCTGTTGCGGCATACCTCTCCTTTTTGGATTCCGTCGTGCACATGCCTGCAGCTGAAGAGCAGCTGGAAGGAGTGTGGCCCGGCTCCCTGCCAACTTGACCTGGGATGGTGTTGCTCTTCCTCCAGAGCATAGTTACTTCTCTGGAAGATCCGTCTGTCATGTGACCAAAGAGAGAGAAACAGTCTGTGTTAAAAGTACCCTGTAACTCTTTAATCTTTTACATTTTGTTGTTTTATCTTTAAAGGCTGGAGTTGTCTGTTGAAAACATCCTCCGAGACTGGCTTGAGAGTTCCGGGATACCACAGGTGCGCCCGAGGTTACCGCGTCAGGGGTTCTGTGGAGAACAGTGAACTTGCTGCTTAGTGCACCAGGCGTGACAGTGATTTTTGTGCATGTATATGAAAGTATATGTATGTTTATATAAAGCCATGTAAATATATATAAAAGGCACCATCTTACTGAGTTTATCCCCAAGTTAGGAGGTAACGGTCTCCCATCCTTCTCAGCCTTGCTGCTGGCCTTCCGAGTGCTGGACCCCAAACTAGGTGTTAGATCAGCTCTTGCAAAGCATGGTGTATATTTTGGGTGGTGTCACCAGGCAACAGTCCAGTGCCGCCAGTGGGCTGAGCAGCTGGCCTCTATCTCTGCTCTTTGGATGCAGCAGACAGGTGAGCTGACCTGCCTGTCCTCTGACCCATCATAGCCCTAATTTCTCCATCGTTTCTCAGGTGCAGCTTCCAGGCACCATGTCCTCTGGGTCTGTATCCCTGTCTCTAGCTGTCTTCTCATTTGAATGAGCCATTTAGATTCATTTCTCTGTTGTTGGGAGGGTTCTGCCCCTCCTGAAGGTTTTACTACCCCTCCCTTTCAGCCACAGGCAGTTCTGTGGGAGAGGTGGTTTTCACCCATTGCAGCTCCTCTGTGGGAGCCACCCAGCCTGAGCCTGCACCCCCACTCTCCTGCCCTTGACTTTCCAGAGCCTGAAGGAGGCCCTGAGTGCCTACCGGAGCTAGAGCCTGGGCCCTCGGGAGTCTGAGGGTGGTGCCTGGGTGGGGCTGGGCAAGGACCCTGCAGGCCTGGAACTTTCTCAACCTGGGCCAGCCCCCAGGGCAGCTGCAGACCCGTAAGAGTGGGCTCTGGTGTCTGGGGGCAGGCCCCCTTGGCTGTGAGGAACTGTGCCCTGGGCCGAAGCAAGTGGCCCCATTAGCCTGCTTGTTTCTGGTTTCATGGCAGGTTACCTGAGCTTCCCCTTGGGAGTGTCTGGATGTCAGTGAATGTCTGTGAACCAGGGAATTGAGGAACAGGAGGGGCAGCTCTCAGTACTTCTTTATCCGTCTACCCACATCTTTGTCCTGCTCTGCCACACGGGAAAATGTTGGCTGCCAGTCACCACGAGCTCATCCCTAAAGGAGGCATTGCCTGCAGTTCAGGAATGCATGTCACCTGTTGAAAGTTATTTGTTTGGCCCAATCCTTCTGGGAGCATAAAAGAATAAAGTCCAGGTCCTAAAAAAGCCAAAAAACCAGGGGTGGGTACAGCCACACCCAGTGCTGGGAGGCAGTGCCTTTACGTTGTATATGTATTGTAATGAGGTCCTGTGATGTCCAAGACCAGTGGCTTCTGAACTAGGCCGTGTGCTGAGTACAGGAATCTCAGGAAACAAAGGTAAGGTTTGTCTCCTCCTGAGCAGCCAAGCCTTGCCCTTTTTGCTTTAGATGGTGGTGGGGAGTTCCCTGGGGCTGTCCGCCTGTGTTCCCAGGCCACTGTTGCAAGGCTCCCAGACATTCTTCGCGCGGCCTGGAAGCTGGGAAGAGTTGGGAGCTCAGAGAGCAGAGTCCTGAATTCTCTGGCTTCAAACAACAAGGCAGCTGTATTCAGTCGGCAGTTAGCCCCGAGGGAAGAGAAAAGAAAGTATCCTTAATCAAGTGCCCAGAAGCAGGCACACCCCACTTGGGTTGTAGCACGGGGCTGACCTGCTCACTCCCAGGGGGTTGTGCAGTTTCCCCTGAGAGGAGCAGGCTTTGCCCAATGGAAGGCTTTTTGCTTTTCACTAATG